ACACCATAACCTTAAGTATTTTCCCGGTCACCTTGTGTCAAGCCACCTCAGTTAAGCTTACCAAAAAGCAGTCCCACTTTGATCCAATCTAGGTATCTTTTCCAACAATGCTGTGCTGAATTGGATACAGTTTAAAGTCTCTACGTTGCCAATGGGCTGTATGTAGCCAAGAGTTGTTTTTCTTATTAATCCAATTTTTTCTTAAGGACTAAATGACTAACTCTCAACTCTAGAAGCCAATGACCCAGAAGGAGGCTGGTCTAGATCGCACAGTCGGGGCTGAGTCGAGTCACCCTCTAACTCTGAGCCCAAGGTTTGGTCAAATATCTTATTAGGGCTCGGCACTAGCAAAAGTGGCAGTTATATAAATAATGTGTGTCCATGAGGAATACGTCCAGCTTTGAGGGAGAGGGAGAAGCAGGCTTCCCACCAAGCGGGGAGCCCGAGGTGGGACTCAATCCCAGGACTCCAGGATCAAGACCTGAGCCGAAAGCAGATGCTTAACTGACTGACTCACCCCGGCGCCCCTCCTGCTCCACCATTCTTACATACGCCTTTTGCCCTGTGGTGGAAGGACAGCTTCTAACTTAGCAGATACCATGTCCCAGCTTCCAGCAGGGAAAGGACAAAGCACAAAGCTTTCTCCTCAGGAAACTTTGCTACCCCCCACCCCCCAAAAAGAAAACCTCCCCTGGGCATTTCTCACTACAATTCTCTGGTCAAGACTGGATCCCATGACCACCCTAACTACAGGGGAGGCCGAGAAATCAACTACTTAAGCTTTGTAGTCTCCATAGGAAAGGACGTCAAAGGAGAAATTGATTGAAATGGGTGTGAAGTCATCCAACCTTTAGAAGAGAACTAACCCACGCTTACATACACACGTATTTTTAAAAATTAATTCATGCAGCAACACTTCCACTGAAGGAGCGTAGGGAGAAAATGTTTTGGTGCAGTCTTGGGTGGGGGGTGCTTGACAGGGCTTAATATCACCAGCACTGAAAGTAATAAATGTTATCCCTCTTTTCTATCATGAATATGAATGACGCTCTGAAGGCTGAAAGCAACCTAAGAATTTACGTGAGAAATGAGGCATGAAACATTTTTGAAAATATATTAGCCCAAAGTCTGTATTACTACATATTTTATACCCTTTTCAATATGCTACAAAAGGTTTGAGCCATCAACTGAATGCTGCCAGAAAAGAACAAATAAGAACAAGGATACAAAAATAAATGCTGGGAGTCAAGTTACCCCCAAGATGTTCTTTATGGTCGGTGTAATGATCACGGTACCGGGCAGATGGTTTGCTTCAAACTCTCCCCATCGGCACTTGTGCTGCGAGGTGGGTTCTCCAACAAGCTTATCCCAGGCCAAGTGGTCAGAAATACTCATTGAACTAAGTCGGTATTGGAGATAGAATTCCATAAACACTTCCTGCCCCCACCTCCTGCCCCTTGGTTCCTTGCACTTTCTTCTAGGCCTGAGATCTTTTCTCTTATTTTGAAAACATGAGGGAAACATGTCTAGTCGAGGGGTTCCTGATGGGGAATTCAGTTAATGTTTAAATTCTGTATTATGAATGTTTTTATTGTCTAAAATATATTTTCAGACATAGTCCTGTGATAATCAGAAGTATGAATATATCTTATATCCCATGAACTTTATCCCATGTTAATGATATTCAGTAAAATGGCCAACCATGTGAAAATATGTACCCTGTTAAGATATTATGCATTATTTTAATCCTTTTTTCCTTTACATGATTTTAAGAAGTTCTGCAATGAATATACATTATTCTCACGATAGGAAACAAATGCCAACTTCGGTTTTTCCATGAGGTTATTGTCTTACCAGACCAGACATGAGCCAAGTTTGGGCTTCTAAAGTGAAACTGTGTGGGGCATTATGTCTGTAGACAAGTGCCTGTCTACTGTCTGGATGCCAGAGAGTCTCATGGTTCATGTACTTAGCGTCATCATTTCACTCATAAAAATGTCTACTCCTGGCCCCAGACATGGTAATTCAGTCGGACAGGGGTGGGGCTCAGAAGTCTGCATTTTTAACAAGTCCCTCATTCTTTTTTTTTTTTTTTTTTTTGAGAGATTAAGAGAGAGAGCACACAGGAGTGAGGTGGAGGGCAGAGGGAGGGGGAGAGAATCTCAAGCAGACTCCACCCCAGCAAGGAGCCCTACAGAGGGCTCAATCTCATGACCCTGAGATCATGACCTAAGCTGAAAACAAGAGTTGGGCGCTTAACTGACTGAGCCACCCAGGCACACTCAACTCCCCTCATTCTTTTTTTTTTTTTTTTTAAGTCCCCTCATTCTGATACAGATAGTCCCCAGGCTACACCAGAGAAACATTGCTCTGATAAGTCTTTTGCTCACTTATTGAGAGGCCGCAGTCTTATGTCGATGTCCATTCTTATGGATCCCACTGATAAGCCAGTCTGCCCCCTCATACCAGAGAATGGTGCCCCCTCTGCTCCACCTTTCAAAGGGTAAACTGCTTTTACTTTTCCTCAGTCACAAGGAGTTAATAGGTTAATAATTTGCAAAACACTTCTTAATACTTAATAATACTTCATTATACTCAAGTATTCTGTCATACAGAAAAAGTGTTTCTTTTTTTTTTTCTTTTTTACTTTTAAAAATTTTACTTATTTAAGAGAGAGCTGGGGCACCTGGGTGGCTCAGTGGGTTAAGCCTCTGCCTTCGGTTCGGGTCATGGTCTCGGGGTCCTGGGATCGAGCCCCGCGTCGGGTTCTCTGCTCGGCGGTGAGCCTGCTTTCCCCTCTCTCTGCCTGCCTCTCTGTCTACTTGTGCTCTCTCTCTCTCTCTGTCAAATAAATAAATAAATAAATAAATAAAATCTTTAAAAAAAAAAAAAAAAGAGAGAGCAAAAGTGAGAGAGATTACAAAAGGGAGAGAGAGAAGCAGGTTCACCGCTGAGCAGAGAGCCTGATGTGGGACTCGATCCCATGACCCTGAGATCATGACCTGAGCTGAAGGCAGACGTTTTCCCAACTGAGCCACCGAGGCACACCAGAAAAAGTGTTTTTTAATTAGTTAAATTCAACTGAATGCCCATCATGAATGAGAAGAGAGATATTAAAGATACACAAGACCAACCTCTACTCCCAAATGAAAATTTCCAGATTAGATATCTCCAGCTTGTCTGTCATTGCTTATGAATTCCCTCAACTGATCTTTAGTGATAAACTACACAGTACTAGTGGATGGTTACTATTCTAGAAGGATCATTTCTCAGCCAATGAAAATGCCAGAACAACTGGTGTAGTAAAGATTTACCTTTAACCCCCCTTTAAAAAAAAAAAAAAGATTTTATTTATTTATTTGACACAGAGAGAGAGATCACGGCAGAGAGGGCAGGGGGAAAAAGGCTCCCTGCTGAGCAGAGAGCTCAATGCGGGTTTGATCCCAGGACCCTGAGATTATGACCTGAGCCGAAGGCAGAGGCTTAACCCACTGAGCCACCCAGGTGCCCTAACCCTTTTCTGCTAAGAAGTTTTTACATCATTTTCTTCATTCTCAGAGATGGTTCTATTTTTCTTCTAAAAACCTAAAGAAGGACTTCTCTTGGCACAACACATGTCTGGGGAGCTCTTACTGTAAATCAGCCTTCATTTATTTCCTGGCTATCAGACAATGTTTCACTTAGATACTATATCTGAGGCCTCATCTAAATTTAGGAGAATGAGACTGCAGATTTTAGAAATAATCTGCCAGCTGTGCTGGTCAAAGTGTCTTGAAGCCCTTTGCAAAGAGTAAGAAAAGGAGGAGAGGGAGGGAGAAGAGAAGAGAGGAGCCTCAGGGACAACCACAATAGAATTTTTTAAGCATCTCCTAAATGCTAGCCATGAAGGGAAGTGCTTTAATAAAGTACCTCACTTAGACCTCCTGATTAAGCCAGGAGATGAATGTTCTTTATAGCCTGACTCTACAGATCATGAAAACTGAGGCAGAGAGAAATTATGTAAATTGCCCCAAATCACAAAGGTACTAAGATTCAGAGCTCTGTGTGTTTCCAGAACTCTCCACCACACACTGTGGGACACCATGCCGGTTGAAGGCACTCAGGCAATTTGGGGCAGCCCCCCTCAGGAGCTCACTACTATCACCCCAGCAGCATCGGAACAGCCAGGAGACACTATGGCTGATCACAAGTTACGGTCCACTGTCTAACCCGTTAGAAGGCCTCCGACAGCCTCAGAAATCAGGCTGGATTTAGGAAGGCGAGCTTCCTTTCCTCACCAAATCAGTCCCTCCCGATTCAGACGCTGTATCCTGTCTTCCAACGGATCAATCTACTGCACCGAGGAAGGCTGGTTCTAAATTTCGTAATAAAACTATCAGAATGATGAAAGAGAACACGATGGGCTGCCGGAAAAATATCAAAAATCAGTGTGATGCTTGAGTTGGCCCGATTGGCTCATATACTGTTTTCTGTTACAAGGTGAAGAGCAACTATTGGGCTGTTAATTAATGTTATGTTATTATTATGAGGGAGGCCCAAGGTTCAGACATTCTTAATTGCCTGAACTCCTGGGCTAATTAATGCAATTTATAAGGGATATGTCAGGAATAATAGTATATGTTTTTATATCAAACATAAAAACATGAGGGACGTGCCCCTCACTGAAGGTTACCAGATAGTTCTAAGCACTTAACATGGGTCTTGTCAGAGAAAATCCCAGTACATTAATTTAATAGGCTCAGAGTTACTTATCAAAAGGCTGTAGAGCATAATGTTTTGCATAATCAAATGGTTTATTAACGCAAGTCATCATTTGATTTTTTTCATTTATATTCCAATTCTCAGAGATATAAGCATATCAATTACAAAAACAGCCTACAATGTCTAAATACAAAATAGCTACGAGGCGAAGTATTGTACACAGCATCTAGAATACTATAGAGCTCAGTAACAAGATGATTTTCACAAAACACATGCCAAATGTTGATTATTCACATTACCTGACAGGAAATGCCTTGTGGTTTTTTTCCTTGAAAAGTATGCATGTTATTACTCAAAAGAAAATCATCTTCATTTAGATCTATGAAAAGAGATAAATGTTATGCAGATTATCAGAAATTACAGGACTTAAGAAGTTTAAGTGCAATTTAATACTCTTTATTCTTTTCGTTAGTCTATTACAGCACTATATTGCCTAGATCATAAATCTTTATTTTCTTAAAGATATCTTATTCTCACAAGAAACGGGTCAAAATAAAATACAAATTTAACAAATTAACAAATTTAACAAAGAAAAAATGAAGAATGCCACTGGCCAGCTGGGTATCTGAGCAAGCATGGAACCTCTCTGGGACTCAGTTTCCCTCTCAGTAATAAAAGAGTAGCATACTACCTACTAAATTCAGTTACACAGTTACCAGTTTGTGGCCTCTGCTGTAGAAAAAGGAGGACGTTCGAGGGTCTTGAACTAAGGAAGAGACATCAGAAAAATGGTATTTTATGAAGATTAGCTCTTTGTTTTGTGGTCTTACACATTTTTATTTATTTGCAATCTCCCAAATATTGCCCTACAAGAGAATATTTAGAAAACAGAAGCAATTTGGTCCTAAGTAGTAACGAAGTTGCAATAGTTGAATTAGGCAATATGCAGCTGTACTTTCCATTGATGGCCACAGAAATATCCCTCACACCACATATTCCACAATGTGAACTTGGTATGTCTCCATCAAGAAACAGAGTTCAGGGTGCCTGGGTGGCTCAGTGGGTTAAGCCCCTGACTTCGGCTCAGGTTATGGTCTCAGGGGTACTGAGATCGAGTCCTGCATCGGGCTCTCTGCTTGGCAGGGAGCCTGCTTCCCTCTCTCTCTCTCCCTCTCTCTCTGCCTGCCTCTCTGCCTACTTGTGATCTCTCTCTGTCAAATAAATAAATAAAATCTTAAAAAAAAAAAAAAAGAAAGAAACAGATTCTCCTCTAATTCAACTGAACTTAGTAACTTAGTAACTCACTTATCACAGGACAATGCAGTGGAAATGATGCTTTGTGACCCGTCCCCCCCTCCTAAGACTAGGTCAGAAGAAGCCTTACAGCTTCTGCCTTGTTCATTAGGGATGCTCACTCTCCAGACACTTCCTCCTGTGGTGCGTGAAGCTCCCTCTCTTGTGTCCCTCCCTCTTGCAATCCAGGCCTTGTCCAGGGTGGGGCTTACATCACCTGGAGAGGCCACATACTGGAAGTCTCCACTGAGCCCAGCCTGCACGTGATCCCAGAACAGGTGCCAAATATATAAGCGAAAAAGTCTCTAGATGATTGATTCAAGCCAACAAATATTTAAGTCCTCCCCAGTCATTCGAGTCTTTCCATAAAAGGCCTCAGATATCATGAAGCCCTGCCCTGAATGAATTCCTGGCCCACAAAATCCACGAGCCTAATACAATGCTGTTTGATGCCATTAAATTTGGGGGTGGCTTTTTTGCAGCAACAAGATCATGAGAACATGCAGAAACTACTTAAGTGAGTCACAGATGACCGCATACGTAGGAATGCACATCCGACGTACACATTCAGACTCCAACTGCCCCTCGAGTGCAGATGTGGGGAAGAAATGAGATGAGGTAAAAAAGCAAAATAATCTAATAATCTAATAATTCTAATCAGCTTCCAGGTGATTCTAATGAAGATAGTCCTAACCACACTCAGGAAACTATAACCCTAGGAAGAACTCCACTAAGGAACTGAAGGGAGACTCATTTGTCCAAAACACGAAGGTGCTGAGTGTTCTCGTCACTCGATTCAGAAAAGTCCTTCTTGGAAGCAAGAGGCCTGCTTACAGCAGCCTGTGCTCAGGGAGTTTCTTCCCAGGTGATAAATGGATGTTCAGGTGCGAAATAGGGCTTTTCTCTGTCACTCCTTCATGTGATCCAGTCTAACCAAAGTTAAATTACATGGTCTTGGGAAACAATTTTTAAATTAATTGGTGGTCCCTGAAAATTAAACAGAATAGCAAATACATTTGTGGCTTTATCTATTTGCCATCCTGAAAGTGAGGGTATCAAGCCAAAAAAGAAGAGAATTAATAAGGTCTGGAAAAATCAAGCCAGAATGTTTACATGCATACTCCGAAAAGGCGGGCCAAATAATAATATTGACTAGAATTCAGGAAAGAAGGTTTCAAACCAATGGCAATTCAAATGTGAAACCGGAAGCTCCTAGTAACATCCCTCCTATAATAAGATTTTTGGTAATGAATCTCATCAAAATCATACGTAAGGAGTATTTATTTTTAAAATAATTTGACAGCAATATGGGTGAAATTAATATTCCCCTCAATACTAACCATGTTTCCTGATCTTATCCAGCCCTTTACTTCCTTTACTAACAGGCCAAGTTTTATTATTATTTTTTTGCCTATTTTCTGTTTTATGGAATAGTCTGTCATAGTCCCACTGTTTGAAAAATCTCTAAATATGTTGTTTCCTTTTTATTACTTTTTAAGTTCTAAACTCCAATTCACAGATTTCAAAGTTTGTTCTTTTCAAGCTTGATTTAGTTTCTTCATAAAATTAAGGCCAAAATCAATTTTAAAATCATAAATTTAAAATTTTAAAATTGATCTTGATTTACTCTAATGAATATTATTACTATTCTGCCTTTGATGATGCTGAAAATACAATTGATATGAATTACAGATTAATTTTCCTTGATACCTAAACTATGCCAGTGCTTTAGTCATAAAGTCCTGAGCACTTAATTTATTTTGCATTTATTTTGCAGATGTAGTCTCTTTTAACAGCACAGATGGAGGCTTCGATAAAACTCTTCTTAGAAGAAGGAAATGGACTAGATAAACTAAAAATATTATGCTTCTGGCACTCAATGTATTCTGGTAAATTTTGTCTTAACTGACATAACACAGTCATATTCTTGAGCTACATGAATATCTATAGATTCAAACACCAGGCACAAATTCTTGCTAAACATAACCTGTGGACATTTCTTTCATCAGGCCCCAATATTCTTTAGGCCTGAAACGTTGTTAATATGTGTCATCAACAAACACCTTTTTGAAATTGAAACTGAAATGGAGAGAAATGGCCTTTTTTCCCCCTTTGGTCTTGGAGTTAGTAACAGATTCCGTAGGAGTTAGTGCCACTCCTACCATTTAATTTCCTGTATATTTTCTTCTATTTTATTGAGGCTGCCTTCAGAATTTCATCATATGTGTTCAATAAAATAATGGGCTCTTGTGATAGCAACAAGGCACCCTCCGGTCTTCCTCTCCCTAAACTTGACAGACTGCCTATCCTCAGACACAGTAAACCTCTCTTCAGTAATTATGCAATTAACAGTTGAAAAGTAGTGTTTAAAAATGAGAAAGAAATATTGTGGGTTGATGGGTAGGGCACTAATTGCCTAGAAATACTCTGAGCTTTCCAAATGAAGCTCCTCCACCCATAAAATTCAAGTCCACAACTTGTGGCCCTCCCTTCCCCACTGAATTTCTCCCTTAATTTACAGTGGCATGGATGGCCTTGGTCTCGGGCCATCAACTCTTCCTTGCACAGCATTAATCCCTAGGAAATGTCCTGTGACTCAGCTGCTACTGCTGAAATGCCAGCCGAACTTTTAGACACACACACACACACACACACACACACACACACGTGCGCGGGCGTGCGGTTATATGGTAGCTTAAGATGCAGAAGTAACCAAAGCTGAGAAGGTTTCTGTTAAAGGCTTGCATTTTTTTTTCTCTAACAAAAGCACATCTCTAATCAGAAACACCATACTATAAAGCCAAGATTTTTCGCTATAATAGAATTACCTGCCTATGACTCCTAAATTTAAAAAAAAAAAACAAAAAACGGAGAAAATTATTTGCAAAAAAAATAGCAAACTGAATTATTACGAAATGGTAAAATTTATGACAAAATAATCTACAGTACAGTTATAACTTCTTGATCCATAGATCAATATACAATAAGCTAAAAATCACATGTATTTATTAAAGGGGCGGAGGATAGATTATGTGGATGAACGTCTGACTAATCTGTAGAGTCTGTGAGTGAACATAGCTGGCATCCACGAGATAAAGATACAGTCCAATTGCAACATGATCTTAAGACATTTCCTATGTTGTGATTAAAGAAAATACCTAAATTCCAAAATGTTTCATCTATTTATTTATATAGAAAAAAGTATAACTATTTAAAAATTCAATTAAAATTATTTCCCCAAATGTTACATAATCTTGAATAAAACAGAAATACTGCAAAATAAATTATTTTCATAAATAATTACTATGTAAATCTAAGAGGACTCTTAAAAGGTAAAATTTGGACAGATTATATAATCAAATCACTAAACTAATGATAAAGATGCACTATAATTCCCTTTGTCCCAGGATATTAAAAAATATATTTAATTAAAAATTAGAAACTCTTAAATAATCAATAACTAACATAATTATTGTTGTTCTGGTAACATTAGAGGGAGAATACCAAGCAACTTTTTATGCTGTTGTTCATGTTTGTGAACTCTGAAGACTTTTTGTTTTATTCATTACCTTCCCAAAGTTAAATAATTTTAATTTTGAAGTCATTTATTATTAATACATTTTACTACACCTGGCTGCTAATTTTCTCTTCTTGGGAATTTTAAAATTATGAAATGATATAATTTTGTATTAATAATCAAGGTTACTCTTCCATATTTGTAAGGAAAATGTAAATGTTTTAACAACTATTAATATATTAATGTTATTTTAGAGGGTTTTTCTATGGGCTGATTTGTAATACATTTTAAAATTATTATAGACATTAAAGACTTTAAAATATTATTTGCAATTGATTCTTTGCTTCAACAGTCAACCTAATTAGATTCTACTTCCTTTCTATATGTCTATGAGTATCTATACACACCCAGACACACGTATATATCCTATTAATAATATATATCTCCTATTCTAGTTGTTTTTCCTTTTTTAAGTAGACCACAATGCCCTGCTTATTTTAATAGGGAAAGATGTAAATTTTTCTTTCCTGCCCTTTAAGCTACTTTGGGAAAATGCAAAGTCAGCTGAACTGAATTTAGCAATTACCTTTTAGCTGACAGAGTCTTCTGATGTGGGAATCATTCTCAGGCTTGCGGGGTTCCTGCCAGATTGTGTCACTCACTGTTTTCCTTTCTAAAATAAAGCAGAGGATTGGTTAGCAGAATTCACAGTAACATCTGTCCAGTAAGTGTAGGAAGTATGAAATCAAAACAAGATAAGCACACAGTTGTAACGTGGTAAGAGACAGGAGAGCTCTGTGGTCCATCCTAGAGAGTTCTAGTGCCTGACAGACAACCCCCAAGTGTCCTGCGGGCCCCCATGTCTTTCCATAAACTACATAAGCACCCAGCATACGCGGTAGGATGCTGCTGTTATTGAAATACCTGTTGATAGTCTGTGATTACATTATTCTTGGAAGGATTTTTCCTGAATTAACATTTAGGTTTTCATGCTTAGTTCAAGTCTCCCCACCCTCCGCATTCTTCATCATTTTTAACAAAATGATCAAGTGTGTGGAGAGAACACCGAACTGCAATGGTTTCAAGAAACTCTCAAATCTTGAGTGGAAGAACAATGACTTACTTGCTCGGCCCTGTCCTCCCACCACCTAGAGCAGGGCCTGGAAGTGCGGTGAAGAACTAAAATGTGCTAACATGATGAATTAGAATCCCTTCTCGTCTTTTTACCAAAGATGATCATTCCACACGTCCTGTCATCATACTGATAAGGCAAATTTGAGATAATACACCCAAAGCGTCACAGGGAAACAAAGTCAGCACGTCTGTGTTGTTTTTAAGGTCACTGTTTACTCTCCTGTTTGACTACAGGAAGGGAATCGAGCATCAAGAATTATGTTAGGAAGGAAACAGCTATAGCCTTGTGTGTACAAACTGCATAGCAGGCTATGAGAAGAAATCTGATGGAAAATAAAACTTTGACTTACTTCCTTTTACTTAAGATTATGCATTATTTAAATCAGGGCTGATATGCAAAATATTTAAGAACTACTTGCCCACAGGGCCTTGACTAGTGAGCTAGGACACAGCCTCTGTGGATGCTGCTCTCTGAAGAGTAACTGACCTCACTAAGATGCAGACACTCTTGAAGATGCATCCATTGATGACCATCACCTGGGTCTGAATGAGCTTTTCAGATCCTACCTAGGAGACTGGATTTTGAAAAGACGGGAACAGGAGTCTGAGCATCCAACTCCTAGACTCTACCAGAGAGAAAGGGCACCCACAAATTTAACAGGCTTCACTAAAAAGAAATTATTGCCTGGGCTCCTTGGTGGTTCAGTTGGTTAAGCATTTGCCTTCAGTTCAGGTCATGATCTCGGGGTCCTGGAATCAAGCCCCACATCAGTGAGGGGGGGTGGTCCCCGCTCAGCAGGGAGCCTGCTTCTCCCTCTGCCTCTGCCCCTTGCTGCTCTCTCTCAAATAAATAAATATTTTTTTTTTTTTTTTTAAGATTTCATTTATTTCACAGAGATCACAAGTAGGCAGAGAGGCAGAGGGGGAAGCAGGCTCCCCGCCGAGCAGAGAGCCAGATGCGGGGCTCGATCCCAGGACTCTGAGATCATGACCTGAGCTGAAGGCAGAGGCTTTAACCCACTGAGCCACCCATGACCCAATAAACAAAATCTTTAAAAAAATAAAGTATTGCCTGAATAATCCAGATATTTAAAAAGATTTTATTTATTTATTTATTTGCGAGAGAGTCAAAGATAGTGACAGAGAACATGAGTGGGGAGGAGAGGGAGAAGCAGGCTCTCTGCCGAGCAGGAAGCCTGACTTGGGGTTCAATCCCAGGACCCTGGGATCATGACCCGAGCTGAAGGAAGGCACTAAACCAACTAAGCCACCCAGGCGCCCCTAATCCAGATGTTTTGCCACTGTGACTACTTTATAATTAGTGAACTATATTCTGAAAGAAAAGGAGAGATGTTATCCGTTAGCTTTCTAAAAGTAATTAATAGAATTAGATATTTACTTCAGAATTAAATAAACATCAAGGCTTTATTGTAACTACAAAAACTATGACCACAGAAACTAAAGAAAAGGTCTGATGTTTGAAATGCTGTGGAAGAGTCTTTTGTAATATATTTTTTATTTCTTTTTATTCACTCCTAGATTCATATATCTGAAAAGATACGGAAGAGGTCACCTTGACCATGGTCAGCCAAGCTAACGTTGAGAAGCCGGAAGATAATCAGCCAATAAACCATCAAAGAGAATTATATTTTTAATGTAAAAGGAAATTATTCTGAATAAATCAATGATTTCTTTGTCTTAGCCATTTACAATTAGAATGGAACCACCTCCCTTTTAAAAAAATTTCTTCTGTAGAATTCAAAGACAACTCAATTTGATTTCATTAATCACTTATTGTTGCTCTATGGAAGCGGCAGAGGAAAAGAACTTTTAGAGAAACAGAACAGGTTATCTGCATGAGTCATCCTCTAAATTACTAACCAAATCCTTCGTTTTCAGACACAGATCTCCGGATTGACCTAGAAGAATAAAAGAAACATATTTAAGTCTACACCTTACCCACTAAGCACATATTATTTACTAATAATATTTTTAATCAAGCAGAAATTAGATTACTTAGACATGCTTGCACTACGTTTGAGAGCAGAAATACATTCTACCCCTAACTAAGGTCTATATATAGCCCTGAATTTTCCTAAGCACAGTTAATATAAGTATAATCTTGGCCTGGAAATTTCCATGCAGTTTGGAAAAATTTCCATGCAACATTCATAAAACTCACACACACACACAAGTGGGCCACTTTGACATGATTGTATCTCGAGATAATCAAATAAATAGTTAATGTGGAAAAGCTCTTTTTGAAATAATTTCATTCAATAAATACAGAAAGGAGGACTAAATGTAATCATGTAATATCCCTAATGAAACAATGGATCTGGCCAATAATCAACAGTTGCTGTTGAAACTCTTCATTGAAAGGCTAAAAGGGCAACTTTGTGTTGATGGCTCAGCCTGATACCATCTGAACTCACCAAGCACGTTCACAGTCATAAAACTACAGACAACCAAACATATGGGCTTCCAAAGTAATGCAGCAGGAAGCCTACAGTCACTGATAACCTACTTTTAAAATATATCACATATCAAACTTGAACACTATCAAGCCCAGAGATCTACCTAAAGAAGTTACAGGAAACATACAGGATAGAAGAACATGTTTTTTGTTTTTCTTTTTTTAAATACCACAATGATGAAATCAGCAAGGTTAAAAAGTGGAAAATTCCTCAGAACAAACAATCCAGTTTCTTCAAGCAATCCATGGAGAAGGACCTATGAATTAAGAGACATGCACTGCGATGATCCTGATTGGATCATGATTTAAATTAACTTTTTAAAAATAAAAAAAGCACTTGAGGCTCTCAGAAAAATTTTAACAGTGACTATATATTTGGTCATATTATACAATTTTTCTTATTTTATTCTACTGCAGTGGCGGCACTGTGTGTGTGTGTGTGTGTGTGTGTGTGAATACATATATATATACGTATATATATATATGCTTACCTTTCAGCAATATATATCCAAATACAAAATTATGTGTCTGGTATCTGCTTTAAAAAAATTGTGGAGGTTGGAGCACTAGGGTGTCAATGGGTAGAAATAAAATAAGACTGACTATAGGTTGACACTTGTTCAAGCTTGGTGATGTGAGTTCATTATCTCCTCCATTGTGTATAATTGAAAATTCCCATAATAAAATGTCCAAAACAGAAACAGAGAATAAGACTGTGCTGACTCGATCATGTTAATTATTTTACGCGCTGGGTGAACACACACGTGTCCTGTACCTATGATTAACTTTGGGGTAGCTTGAGCGTTTTCCACTATTTATATTCTTGGTCATCATTAAATTAGTGCTGTGTTCACTTTCCCTTAAGCTCAGGTTTGTAAGAAAAAAAGTCTGTATATATAATTTTTGTCTTTATTTTACTTTTATTTATTTTTTATTTTATTTTATTTTATTTTACTTTTATTTTATTTTATTTTCTTATTTTTATTTGTTAATACAAATGCTTAGGACACCTCTTGGCAGAGTTAGTGTTCCCAAAGAACCATTTATAGTATTGTAAGGTGAGGGGGAGGAGAACAGCATGAGATGTTATCCCTTCAGGGGAGTGGTGGACAAGGGAATTAAGGAACTGGAAAGTCTTCGATTTTATTTTAATTGGTCACAATCGGAAGAGCACATTCACTGGTTTTGAAAAATCCTAATTAGTTGGCATCAGGTACTTTCCCTCTCATCCATTCCCCTTTTTCCTGTCCATGTTTTGATATCCTCTGATTGATAGACGCATCAATCATAAGCCAATAGCTGTCATTTCATTTAAGGATTTTATTTGGAATCGGTGATTCCTTATCCGTGGCTGGAGGGAGACCCGGCATAGGCATCGCAGTTTTTCAGATGGAGATGAGCTGTGCCAAAAAACCCCCTTCTTTACTCCTGCTCAGGCTTAAAATGCTACCGTTGTAATTTAAATAGTTAACTGTAGCTAAAAGACAACTTCCCTGGTCTGCCAGGTGCTCTAAGCTGTTAATCCAATTACCTACTTCCTATGGGTGTGTTTTATATCCTTACTGGGACAAAGCTTTGAACAGGTAAGGAAAACAACTATGTAAAAGCTCAGAGTGTCTTGGGGGCAGGAGAGCAAGACCCTCCGGAAAGACTCCATCCAGACAGAATTCCACAAAGGAACAGTTTGGTCTCAGAGCATTCAAAGTGCAAGGAAGCTATTCCATATCATCAGCAACCAATCTGGAAATTTCCCCATAAACCAACTTCCGGCCCCTATGTATTTCCCGCTTATTAGTTAAAATCCCATTACCTTATGCAACACGTGTGTACCACATCCTCTGGCAGCTTGATGTGCTGAATGTAAAGCCAAGCCTGACCTAAATAACCCAAATCTCTTTACAAACACATTTTTATTTGGATTAGCAGAACCCTTCAGAAGATTAATAGATCACTGATAGAAGCATGTTTTTGAGAAGGCTCCCACTTTAATCTGAGCCTAGTCTGAACACATGTTTCTTCTTCTGGAAATTCAATTTTCACCTCTCTGTGGACAGAAATGTCACAAAACAGGTTTCCTATGCATCAGCATAAATAGATAAATGGTAGCAGAGTAAAACATATCTAGATTTGTACATGACAATTTTTTAAAAAGCACTTTGATAGGAAAACCACCAAAATATTACATTCAACATGATAGAACTAACAGAACATAAAACTTACAAAGTGAACTTAACTTACTTTCTTTTTGGTTGTGCATTCTCAAAGTTAGAAACTTCCTGGAAAACAAAATACAAAATAAAATAATACCATTCCAAGAAATCAGAAGGAGAATTCAAGAATGGTTCATCTTCGAGGATAATCTAAATGTAGTTCATTTTGCCCTTTCCCAGGAAGGTGACTGGTGTTTCCTCCCTGTATTTTGGTACTATATCATAGAATCTCAGTTCAAGTTTTTTTTTTTTCTCTCTCTTTTTAACTTTGAGAGGTGTAGAGTGCTTCCTTTATTAACTAGGGTTTATTCCTTATTCTAAGCCCTGATCAGTTAATAACACAAGTGTTTTAAATAAAAACATGCAATTAAATCCTCATAACCTCAAAGTTTCCATTCCTCATCAACCCACCAACACCAAGGGCAGAGATATGCACTAGAGTATGCTAATTATATCACATAGTACTTTCCTTTGAGAAAGTTCAATCTATCACAATACCCTGAGTGTGTAAAAATACACCTGTGATTCATCTGGTCTTTCTCATCAGAGCAACTGAACGTTGTATAAAATCCCTTACACTTTTCGGGGAAGATGATGTCGCCATGTCTTTCACCATCCTTGAAAGAGCTTAAACTGCTCCTAGGCACTTTTAAGAACCCTTCAGATTTTCTTGTTATCATTCATCTTCTCCTTCATTCAAAACTATTTATGTTTTTGATGTTCAATTGTTTTCTGAACATCTACTACATCATAGACAACAGACCCTACTGTAGAGAGGTTTGATTGGTATGGTAGGAATTTGTGGGAAAAACAGAAATGCAAAAGTGGGGAAGAGTAGTGAATGAAAAATCAGTAAAAGGAAAATTGTTTTTATTATTCCAGTGGCTGACAGTATCTGTCGGAGCACTGCCAAATCCACCATAATGTGTCCCCTACAGAGTAACCCATATTTATTGTATTTCTGTCAAGATTTAACTCTCAAGGACAATTTAAATTGCCTATTTCCAGCTGTTGAGTAGAGTGTCACTGTTGAGTACAGTGTCACTGAAAATTCCAGATGCTGAAACATTCCATTCCTGAACTTGAGGAACAGGTTTTGCCAAGTTAAAATGCCTGAGTCATCCAAAGGACAAAGTCTAGTAGGAAACAAGGGGAGTGAGGGTAGATAATTGGGAGTCATGAACCAAACCCTGAGGTGAGGTGGGATATCAACAGACCTTTGAGGGGCTAATGGTCAGACTGACCACTCCTTCAATTCTCTATGCTTTGTCATCATGTGTCCTAAAAATAATCCATCTGGGGGAGGAGTCAAGATGGCAGAGAAGTAGCAGCTGAGACTACTTCAGGTAGCAGGAGATCAGCTAGATTGCTTATCTAAAGATTGCAAACACCCACAATCCAACGAGAGATGAAAGAGAAGAAGAACAGCAATTTTGGAAACAGAAAATCAACCACTTTCTGAAAGGTAGGACTGGCGGAGAAGTGAATCCAAAGCGACGGGAAGATAGACCGCGGGGGGAGGGGCCGGCTCCCGGCAAGCGGCGGAGCAACGGAGCACAAAATCAGGACTTTTAAAAGTCTGTTCTGCTGAGGGACATCGCTCCAGAGGCTTAACCGGGGTGAAGCGCACGCGGGGTCAGCGTGGCCTCAGGTCCCACAGGGTCACAGAAGAATCGGGGGTGTCTGAGTGTCCCAGAGCTTACAAGTATTAGAGCGGGGAAGCCGGCTACAGAGACAGAGCCGAAGAGTGACTCTCAGCTCGGGGTTACCTTGAACCGGTCGCAGGCTCGGTCAGCTTGGAGCGCGGCCAGAGGCCAGGGTGATGGGAGTAATTGGGCGCTGTTCTCTGAGGGCGCACTGAGGAGTGGGGCCCCAGGCTCTCGGCTCCTCCGGGCCGGAGACTGGGAGGCCGCCATCTTCATTCCCGTCCTCCGGACTCTACGGAAAGCGCTCAGGGAACAAAAGCTCCCGAAAGCAAACCCGAGCGGATTACTCAGCCCGACCCTGGTAAGGGCGGTGCAACTCCGCCTGGGGCAAAGACACTTGAGAATCACTACAACAGGCCCCTCCCCGAGAAGATCAACGAGAAATCCAGCCAGGACCAAGTTCACCTACCAAGGAGTGCAGTTTCAATACCAAGGAAAGCAGCGGAATTCCAGAGGAGGAGAAAGCAAAGCACGGAACTCATGGCTTTCTCCCCATGATTCTTTAGTCTGGCAGGTAATTTAATTTTTTTTTCCTTCTTTTTCAATTTTTTTTTCTTCTTCTGCTAAATTTTTTTTAACTTTTACGCTTTTCTTTTTTAACGTTTTTTAACTAGTTTATCTAATATATATATGTATTTTTTTTCTTTTTTATATTTTTTCTCTATTCATTTCCTTTTTTTAATTGTTTCCTTTCTTTTTTTTTTTTCCGAATCTCTTTTTATCCCCTTTCTCCCCCCCATGATTTAGGATCTCTTCTGATTTGGGTAAAGCGTATTTTCCTGGGGTCTTTGCCACTCTTTTAGTATTTTACTTGCTCCTTCATATACTCCTATCTGGACAAAATGACAAGACGGAAAAATTCACCACAAAAAAAAGAACAAGAGGCAGTACCAAAGGCTAGGTACCTAATCAACACAGACGTTGGTAATATGTTAGATCTAGAGTTCAGAATGACGATTCTCAAGGTTCTAGCCGGGCTCGATAAAGGCATGGAAGATATTAGAGAAAACCCTCTCGGGAGATATAAAAGCCCTTTCTGGAGAAATAAAAGAACTAAAATCTAACCAAGTTGAAATCAAAAAAGCTATCAATAAGGTGCAATCAAAAATGGAGGCTCTCACGGCTAGGATAAATGAGGCAGAAGAAAGAATTAGCGATATAGAAGACCAAATGACAGAGAATAAAGATGCTGAGCAAAAGAGGGACAAACAGCTACTGGACCACGAGGGCAGAATTCGAGAGATAAGTGACACCATAAGACGAAACAACATTAGAATAATTGGGATTCCAGAAGAAGAAGAAAGAGAGAGGGGAGCAGAAGGTATATTGGAGAGAATTATTGGAGAGAATTTCCCCAATATGGCAAAGGGAACAAGCATCAAAATCCAGGAGGTTCAGAGAACTCCCCTCAAAATCAATAATAGGTCCACACCCCGTCACCTAATAGTCAAATTTACAAGTCTTAGTGACAAAGAGAAAATCCTGAAAGCAGCCCGGGAAAAGAAGTCTGTAACATACAATGGTAAAAATATTAGATTGGCAGCAGACTTATCCACAGAGACTTAGCAGGCCAGAAAGAGCTGGCATGATATATTCAGAGCACTAAACGAGAGAAACATGCAGCCAAGAATACTATATCCAGCTAGGCTATCATTGAAAAGAGAAGGAGAGATTAAAAGCTTCCAGGACAAACAAAAACTGAAAGAATTTGCAAACACCAAACCAGCTCTACAGGAAATATTGAAAGGGGTCCTCTAAGCAAAGAGAGAGCCTAAAAGTAGTAGATCAGAAAGGAACAGAGACAATATACAGTAACAGTCACCTTACAGGCAATACAATGGCACTAAATTCATATCTCCCAATAGTTACCCTGAATGTTAATGGGCTAAATGCCCCACTCAAAAGACACAGGGTATCAGAATGGATAAAAAAAACCCAAAACCCATCTATATGTTGCCTACAAGAAACTCAGTTTAGACCCAAAGACATCTCCAGATTTAAAGTGAGGGGGTGGAAAACAATTTACCATGCTAATGGACATCAGAAGAAATCAGGGGTGGCAATCCTTATATCAGATCAATTAGATTTTAAGCCAAAGACTATAATAAGAGATGAGGAAAGACACTATATCATACTCAAAGGAGCTGTCCAACAAGAAGATCTAACAATTTTCAATATCTATGCCCCTAACGTGGGAGCAGCCAACTATATAAACCAATTAATAACAAAATCAAAGAAACACATCAACAATAATTCAATAATAGTAGGGGACTTTAACACTCCCCTCACTGAAATGGACAGATCATCCAAGCAAAAGATCAACAAGGAAATAAAGGCCTTAAATGACACACTGGACCAGATGGACATTGCAGATATATTCAGAACATTTCATCCCAAAGCAACAGAATACACATTCTTCTCTAGTGCACATGGAGCATTCTCCAGAATAGATCACATCCTGGGTCCTAAATCAGGTCTCAACCAGTATCAAAAGATTGGGATCATTCCCTGCATATTTTCAGACCACAATGCTCTGAAGCTAGAACTCAATCACAAGAGGAAATTTGGAAAGAACCCAAATACATGGAGACTAAACAGCATCCTTCTAAAGAATGAATGGGTCAACCAGGAAATTAAAGAAGAATTGAAAAAATTCATGGAAACAAATGATAATGAAAACACAACGGTTCAAAATCTGTGGGACACAACAAAGGCAGTCCTGAGAGGAAAATATATAGCGGTACAAGCCTTTCTCAAGAAACAAGAAAGGTCTCAGGTACACAACCTAACCCTACATCTAAAGGAGCTGGAGAAAGAACAAGAAAGAAACCCTAAACCCAGCAGGAGAAGAGAAATCATAAAGATCAGAGCAGAAATCAATGAAATAGAAACCAAAAAAACAACAGAGCAAATCAATGAAAACAGGAGCTGGTTCTTTGAAAGAATTAATAAGATTGATAAACCCCTGGCCAGACTTATCAAAAAGAAAAGAGAAAGGACCCAAATAAATAAAATCATGAATGAAAGAGGAGAGATCACAACTAACACCAAAGAAATACAGACAATTATAAGAACACACTATGAGCAACTCTACACCAACAAATTTGACAATCTGGAAGAAATGGATGCATTCCTAGAGACATATAAACTACCACAACTGAATCAGGAAGAAATAGAAAACCTGAACAGACCCATAACTAGTAAGGAGATTGAAACAGTCATCAAAAATCTCCAAACAAAAAAAAGGCCCAGGGCCAGATGGCTTCCTGGGGGAATTCTACCAAACATTTAAAGAAGAACTAATTCCTATTCTCCTGAAACTGTTCCAAAAAATAGAAATGGAAGGAAAACTTCCAAACT